TCGTCGCTGTACGTCAGAGGCCTCCAGGCTGCCTTGGTTGCAGCAAGTGGTGATGGTTGGGGAGGGAGAGGAGCTGATGTTCTGAAAGGCTTTCTTTTTAGGGGACTCTCCTACAGTTTGTGGTCTCAGCTTGTTGGGGCGTGGTCCCCTCTGGAAGCTTTCCAGGTGACATGGCGAGCAGCGATGGGGAATGGCTTAGCTGGACTTTCCGGAGGCCTCATCTTGCTTTGGAGGCTCCAAGGACAGTTCTAGCCCCTTCCATAACTCTGCCCTAGAACTGAACTTGGCACATACATAGTAGGACATCAGGCAATATTTGTTGAATGACTGATTGACTGTTTAGAAATGGTCATGTAATACAATTACAACCCAATTAATTTAGGGCTCACTATCTGTCAGGTGCTGTGTGAAAGCCCTGACATTTTTCATGACTGTGTTTAATCCTCCCGATGACCTATGAGGTAGGTACTGTTATTATCCCACGTCACAGATGAGGAAACTGAGGCTCCAGGGGTTTAAGCAAGTTGATTAAGTCACATCTTGGAAGAAGCAGGTCTGGAATCAGGTGCCAGCCTGGAGGTCTTACCTTTAAGGGGTTCATCCTGATAGAGACAGGTCAGTCGCCATCATCCTGACCATTTTCTGTCTCTTTTCCACAGGTTTTCCACCAAGTACTGGATGTCTCAGACGTGCACAGTTTGTGGGAAAGGGATGCTTTTTGGCCTCAAGTGTAAAAATTGCAAGTAAGTGGCTGTACCTGGAAGCATCTTCTCATGGTGCCTGGTGTCAGCTAGCGCTTCACTGGGCCCTGAAATGGCTGATGGGAGTTTGGTTTCTTGACTTTCAGTTGAGTTGCTTGTTCCTTTTTTTCGGAAATCGATGTTAAATGATCCTGTATATCTGGGGAAGAGCTCAAGGGGAGCAGTTCTGAAAGAGAGCCCACGCTGATGGGCTGTGCTAGAAATGAACGCATAGTGCTGTCTGCTGAGGCACGGGGCACCTTGCATCTTCATAGCATCCAAGATAAGGGTTGGCAAACTTTTTCCAGAGCTGATCAGATAGTAAATATTCTAGGCTTTGCGTCTAGTCCATAGTGTCTCTGTTACAACTATTGGCTCTGCCATGTAGCTCAAAAGCAGCCAGAGACAATACCCAAATGGGCATGACACATTTATATATTTCCATAGAAACCTTATTTGCATAAATATTCTTCCAGCTGGCTTGGGCCCCCTTGGCTGTAGTTTGCCAATCTCGGAGTTAGACTTTGTGAAATCTTTTTCTTCTTTATTGTTTCTCCTCTGAGCAGGGAGTGTGATGATTCTCCCCATTTTGCAGATGTGAAAACTGAGTCTTGGCAAGGATAAATCTCCTGCCTGAAGTCACACAGCCAGGAAGTGGCAGTCAGGACTTAAACTCTGGCCCCTAACTTTTTTGTGGAATCATGTTGGTCCCCAGTTCTCCCCCCCACCCCACGTCCACACATACGTTCCAGGTCATCGCTGGCCAAAGGTGGGGAGGCTGTAGAAAAACTGTGGTGGCCAATGTGGGCTCTTGAGTCAGACTAAGATGGGCTTACATTCCGGCTCTCTTACCTTCTAGCGATGTAATCTTGGGCAAGTCACCTCACATTTCTGTTCCTAGTGTTCTCTTCTACACGACAGGAGTAACCATCATACCTGCCTGCTGTGGCAATGCGCATTCAAGGAATCAGCACTAACGACACAGCCTGGTGCGGGGGCAGGCTCAGACTCTGTCCTCTGTCACAGGTCACACATGCCCCTCTGCCTGGCCTCCCTCTCTCCTGTAAACGTGTGTCAAGTACCCACTCTGGTCCAGTGACTGTAAAATAGTCAATAACGTTCAGCTATAGCGAAGAGTTACAGGTGAATGTACGTCTGACTGCTGCCTGGAGCCACTTAGATTAAAAGATGGCAGGAAACTGCCTGGCTGGCATCGCTCAGTGGTTGAGTGTGGACCTATGAATAAGGAGGTCATGGTTCAATTCCCTGTCAGGGCACATGCCCGGGTTGCAGGCTCCATCCCCAGTAGGGGATGTGCAGGAGGCAGCCGATCAATGATTCTCTCTCATCATTGATGTTTCTATCTCTCTCCCTCTCCCTTCCTCCCTGAAATCAGAAAGACGGTGTGTGTGTATATGTATGTGTGTGCATGTGTGTATGCATGTATGTATGTGTGTGTGCATGTGTGTCTGTATGTGTGTATGTGTATGTGTGCGTGCGCATGTGTGTATGTGTATGTATGTGTATGTGTGTGTGTACGTGTGTGTGTATATGTGTGTATGTGTGTGTGTGTGTGTAAATTAAAATAAAAAAGATGGCAGGAAACCTTCTTCCTCTGTAGCCTTGTCTGTCCCACCCCCAGCCCTGCCGGTGATGGCGGTGGGCCGGCACAGGGACCCGGCTCCCTCTTCCCGCCAGCCTGCAGGTCTTACTCGAGTGATGAAGGGAAGGCTTCCTGGACTTGTAAGTCTATTTCTTTCACCAGGTAGGGGAAGTTTTCTGTCATTATTTCTTCAAATGGGTTTTCAATATCTTGTTTTCCTCC